CGCGTGACAGTAGGACTGGCAGCACGAAGAGAGTCCGACTCCGGGTCGGCAAGAGCAGGAAGACAAGACTCAGGAGAAGAAGGCAAAGGGGCACGCAGAGGAGCAGTGGACGGACGCAGAGACATCCGGTGCGTGCCAGGGACAGGAGGAGGACGCTGACGCGAACCACGACCACTAGCGCGAGCAGTACGGATAGGAGACCCAGGGCGAGACGCAGGCTCACGACGCTCAGCAAGACCTCCAGTAGGACCAGTGTAGGGAGACGGAGCAGGCAGTGGGGAGGCCGGCTGTAACCGTAACTGTGACAGGACAGGCTGTGGACACTCTAAGGGAGGAGGAGGACCAGTAGAAGGCGGGAGACCAAGAACCTGCTGAAGGAGCGGAACGAAGTACGGCCGAGGCCGCGCGGCGACTCCAGACACAGTAGGGACAGCACTAGTACCCCCAGCGGCAGCACCAACACCAGCAGCACCTCCAGCTCCAGTACGTCCAGCAGCACCAGGAGCACCCTCAGCAGGACCGCCTCCTGGACCGACAGCAGTAGCCTCCGCGCCAACACCCAAAGCAGCTCCCGCTCCAGAAGTACCCGCAGGCCCAGCAGCTCCAGTACTCCGAGTACGAGCACCTTCGGGACCCGCGGCACCAGCACCCACAGCAGCAGCAGAACCTCCAGTACCCGCAGCACCTCCAGCTCCAGCAGCTCGCCTCCAGCGCCAGGCAAACCACTCACGCAGCTCCTGTGGATTGAGTGGCTCCCGGCGAGATGAAGCACCCGGAGAACCGCCAGGCTCAGCACCGCCAGACGCCCCACAAGCAGGCCCAGCTTCCTCAGGCTCAGCACCTCCAGGCGTAGCACCCCCAGGCTCAGTACCCCCAGGCTCAGCACCCCCACGCGTAGCACCCCCAGGCTCAGCAACCCCAGACTCAGCACCCCCAGGCTCAGCACCCCCAGTCGTAGTACCCTCAGGCTCAGCACCCCCAGGCGTAGCACCCACACGCTCAGCACCCCCAGAGTCAGCACCCCCAGAGTCAGCACCCCCAGGCTCAGCACCCTCAGCAGCACCAGAGTCACCAGCGACCTCGACAGGCTCGACAGCGTCTACGTGGGACACACCTGAAGGGGCAGGACCCTGAGGGGGGAGGGGGTCTACCGGGGGGGGACCTGGCACAAGGAAGAGCGGTGGCGGGGGGAGGGACGGAGTGCGGTAGGGGAAGAGACGGTAGTAGGGGACCGGCTCGTCGAATGTGACGTCCTGGGAGGACAGAACACGGCGAGAGGTGGGGTGGTAGAACTGCCACCCTGGCGCGTTAGGGGGGAAACCCATGAAGACACAAGGAGCAGCACGAGGGGACAGCTTGTCCGCAGACAAGTCGCGAACAAACGCCCGAGATCCCCAGACACGGAACGCAGACGCATCGCCAACCTTCCTCGTCCACAGCAAGGCTGGGGAGGTCTCCGGCATGGAGACCCTGGGCTGAAGGTTGATTTGATGCGCTGCGTACCGGACCGCAAACGGCCACAGAAAATAAGGGGCAGCCGCATGCATCATGGACGTACGAGCGACGTCCATGACCATGCCAATGCGGCGCTCAGCAATCCCATTTTGCTGTGGAGAGTCCGGAAGCGTGAAGGTCTGGCGGATGCCTCGTGCACGACAGTAGGCTCGCAGAAGGCCAGAGGAGAACTCTCCGCCTCTGTCAGAGTGCAGACGCAGAACAGGAAAGTCCGAGCCGAAGCTCCGCCTGAGCTGGAGACGAGCTGCGCGGATCCAGTCAATCAACACCTCAGTGACATCACCCTTGCTGCGCAAGGGGAAGACTGTGGTGTAACGCGAGTAGTCGTCAACCACCAGCAGGAAGTAGCGCTCGTGACCCTGTCCACGGACGCGGGCCGGGCCCCACACGTCCATGTGAAGCGTCTGCAGCGGGGCCTCTGTCGGAGGAAACTGGGAGGAGTGAGGGGCAGCCCGCTGCCGCCCCTCAACACAGGGGACGCAGGAAGGGCCAGGCCCAGGAGGAAGGGGACAGAGGGACCAGGGAAGACCAGAGACAAGGACACGAGAGGCCATGCCTCGGAGACGAAGCAGGGAGGGGTGACCAAGGCGGTGGTGCCAGAGCAGAGTCTCGTGAGACAGGAGGCGACACGAGCAGGGGGCAGACTCAGGACCAGACCTGGACGCTGCAGCAAACACCTGACCCGATGCAGCTACCTGACCAGACGCATTGACTGGAGGAGACGCAGTGGTAAGTGTGTACAGACTCGACCCTGGCCGACGAGTAAACGTGGCCAGGTGTCGGCCTGTCCGAGCGTCCGTGCAGTGGGTCACCCGCTGACTCGCAGGAGTGAACTGGTGAACCCCCGCATCCTGCAGGTCAGCACCACTCACCAAGTTCATAGAGAACGAGGGGAGGTAAAGACCAGACAGGGTGCCAGAGGGGGCCGCCGGACACGGGAGGACAGTGGAGAAGTGAGCAAGGACAGGGCCCCCAGAGGGGTCTTCCAGAGACACTGCAACTGGCCGACCAAGCGGCGTGAGTGTGGTGCGGTCTCGAAAGAAGGAGCGGGCAGCCCCCGAGTCAAGGGTGAAGGTGTGAGAGGCCGGAGCCGACGCGGTACCTGAGAGAGCAGACTCACCCGCACCTGAGGAAGCAGACGCACTAGCACCTAGAGCAGCAGCCGCACCTGTACCTGGAGCAGGCGCTACGCACAGTTGACCGGCACAGTCAGCACTAGTAGGCAATGCATACATGGCAGTGAGAATAGCATCATAGTCAAGAGCAAATATATCTACCCTCTGCCTAAGCAACTCCACCCAGTCGGGGAGCTCAGCCTCGTCGCCAAACTCGGTACGCCAGGCGTCGCTCAGACGGGCGAAGCATCGGGACTATGTGTGACTAGGCGTCCCACAATGCTGACCAGTCCGAGTACCAGTGCGAATCACGTAAGAGCAGCGAACAGAACTGAGAGATCCTCTACTCTAAGCGTACCACTCACGAAGCTGCTGGGGCGTGAGAGACGCTCGTGGGCGTCGCTGGAGCTGCATCTGGCCACCGCCAGTAGTAGTAGCAGTAGTAGCGCCGCCACCCCTACAACCCCAACCAGCGTACCACTCACGCAGCTGCTGGGGCGTGAGGGACTCACGCGGACGTCGCTGGGGCTGCATCTGGCTCCGCCAGTAGAAGCAGGAGCAGGAGTAGCAGCAGTAAGGCAGGCAGCCAAGCAAGCGGCAGGCAATGCGCTAGTAAGGGAGGGGCTCACCAGTGGTGGGAAGAGCAGGCTCGACGACTCGGCGACTCGGCGGTGCGGGCGGCTCGGGCGGCTCGGCGGCACGGCGGCACTGAAGTAACTGCGGCTCGGCGGCTCGGGCGACTCGAGCGGCTCGGCGGCTCGGGCGACTCGGGCGGCTCGGCGGCTCGGCGGCTCGGGCGGCTCAGCGGTACGGCGGCTCGGCAGCAACTGCAGCTCGGCTGCTCGGCGACCCGGCGGCTCGGGCGGCTGAGGTGCACTACGGCTCGGGCGGCTCGGGTGGCTCGGGTGGCTCGGCACTAGCTCGGCGGCGCCGGCGGCTCGGTAGTGACGGCGGGGCCGCTTGGGGACGGCGGCGGGGCCGGGTGGAGCGGCGAAGGGGCCAGCAGAGGCGGCGCCGGGGCCGCAGGGTAGGCGACCGGGCCAGCAGAGGCGGCGCCGGGGCTGGGAAGGGCGGCGCCGGGGCCGGGGAGGTATGCGACGGGGCCGGGAAGGGCGGCGTCGGGGCCGGGAAGGGCGGCGTCGGGGCCAGCAGAGGTGGCGCCGGGGCCGGGAAGGGCAGCGCTGGGGCCGCAGGGGTAGGCGACGGGGCCAGCAGAGGCGAGGCCGGGTCGGGAAGAGCGGCGTCGGGGTTGCCGGGGTAGGCGACGGGGCCAGCCGAGGTGGCGCCGGGGCCGGGAAGGGCGGAGCCAGGGCCGGGAAGGGCGGCGCTGAAGCCGCAGGGGTAGGTGACGGGGCCACTAGGGCGGCGGATCGGGGCCACGAGGGCGGCGCGACGCGGCCGCTAGGGCAGCGCGACAGGGTAGTGGGGCCGCGCGCCTCGGGGCGCGCGCCAGAAAGAAAATCGCCACGCGCCATGAAAATAGGTCGCACGCCACGGGGCGTGCAGATCGAGTAGCAGCGGAAGCAGTAGTAGGGCCCTAGGAACAGTTCCCACGAGGGAACCTGCTCGATACCATGACAGAATCCCAACCACTAGACCATTGGGATAAAAGGGCTTGTTTCAGTAGCGGGTCAGTGCGCCCATAACCCCCCAGGCGAACGCGCCTGTAACCCTCTCCAGGATCAATCGGGCATCCACGGTGCAAATCTACTGACACTATCGGCATCGTCGCCACCCCTACGCGGCCCCGTCGCCGCCCCTAGCGGCCCCGTCGCCGCCCCTAGCGGCCCCGTTGCCGCCTCTCACCCTACGCGGCCCCGTCGCCGCCTCTAAGCGGCCCTGCTACCGCCCCTAAGCGGCCCCGTCGCCGCCCCTAGGCAGCCCCGTTGCCGCCCCTACGCGGCCCTATCGCCGCCTCTACGCGGCCCCGTCGCCGCCCCCCCCCCCTTCCTACGCAGCCCCGTCGCCGCCACTACACGGCCCCGTCACCGCTCCCCTCCCTACGCGGTCCCGTCGCCACCCCTAGCGGCCCCAACGCCGCCTCTACCGAGCAGCCCAGCAGCTGAGCCGCCCAACAGCAGAGCCGGCGAGCCGCCCAGCAGCCGAGCAGCCGAGCCGTCGAGCCGCCCAGCAACCGAGCCGCCGAGCCGCCCAGCAGCTGAGCCGCCGAGCCGCCCGACAGCCGAGCCGCCCAGCAGCGGAGCCGCCGAGCCGCCCAGCAGCCGAGTTGCCCGACAGCCGAGCCGCGTAGAAGCTGGGCCGCTGAGCCGCCGAGCCGCCCTGCCGTCGAGCCGCTACTAGTCCTACCGGCGCGCCCCGGCCCAACTTACTCGGACTGGTGAGCTCACTCCTTACTAGGCCACTGCAGTCATGGCTACCCCCAGTGTTCATACCTTTGATACTGAGGGTCGTGCTGTTGACTTTGAGGTTTGGGTAGATGACCTCCAGCTGTTCCTCCAGTGCGATAGGGCAGATGGCCTCTCCCTGTTCGACCTCACCTCTGGTGCCTCCCCTGCCCCGCCTGCTAGTGCTGACAGCACTGTTCGCTCACAGTGGGCGACACGCGATGCTGCTGCCCGTCTTGCTGTGCGTCGCCACTTACCAACCACTGAGCGTGCGCACTTTAGCCATTACAAGAGTGCTCAGACCTTGTACGACGCTAGAGTTGCACGCTACTCTTCCCCTGCCACTGCTGCACTGAGCCGCCTCATGCTACCGTACCTCTTCCCTGACCTTGCTGCCTTTCCCACAGTCGCTGACCTCATTACGCACCTCCGCACTAGTGACACTCGCTACCGCGCTGCGCTTCCTGCTAAGTTCTGCGCCAAGAACCCCCCCCCCATGTACATCACCCTCTACTACATAGTCACCCGGCTCCCTGACTCTCTTCGCTTAGTCAGGGACCACTTCCTCTCAGTTTTCCCCACCACACTCACCGTTGACCTCCTCGAGGAGCGCCTCCTAGCAGCAGAGAAGAGCATAGTCGCTGGAGGAGCCTCTTGTGGTGACCTTCGCACCCCTGTCTTTGAGGGGTGTTCCCCCTCCGCCCTCTTGCCCTCTGTTGCTTCTTCTGCTGCTGCCGACCTCGTTGGTTTCTACGCGGTCGGCGCTGCGTCTGCCCCTAGCGGGAGACACCGCACCGACAATGGCAAGGGGGGCAAGGGAGCTAGAGGGGCTGGCGGGGGTGGTGGAGGTGGTGGTGGAGGCAGTGGAGGGGGTGGGGGTGGTGGTGGGAGTGGTGGCGGGGGTGGCGGCGGCGGTGGCAGCAGTGGCGGAGGAGGAGGCGGCGGTGGTGGCGAAGGCGGCGGAGGCGGCGTCGGCGGCGTCGGTCAAGCTGGTCGCGACTCTGCGCAGAGGAGTGGGTCCGGTGGTGGTCCGCGCCACCAGCAGCAGCGCAGTCGTGAGACCCTGTCCCCTCAGCAGCTTCATGAGTGGTACGCTGCGCGTCAGCGCGGTGGGGGTACTGGTCCCTGCACTTAAGTCCTCCGTACCGGCAACCGCGCTGGTGAGCAGTGCGGGGGCCCGCACTCCACCCAGCGCTACTTCGGCCGCCGGACGGACGCGTGGCGTCACCAGATCCCTGAGGCACACACCAGATGGCACTGCGTCCTTCCACTGCTCCTCTGCGTGTCCCGTTGCCGTCTCCTCCAAAGTCCTCTCTTCCTGTCCTTGCCGACCCGGAGTCTGACTCTGTTCGTACTGTCTGTCCTACTGTCACGCATCTCCTGGCTACTGTTGTCACAGACCCTTCCTTTGAGTCCACTGCTGCGTCGGCCCTAGTTGCTGAGCTTGTCGACTTTGCTGCTCGCTGTCGTCTAGACTACGCTGCTAGTCTTGTTGCTGAGTCTGAGTCTGTCTGTCCTCCGTCTGTCGAAGGTGAGTGTGCTCTTAGCACGGACGTCTTTGAGGACAGGCAGGAGGAGTTCCAGTGCATTGCTGCTGCTTTGCCTCATCTCGTGTACACGCTAATTGCCCCTGAGGGAGACTCGGATGCACCAGACATCCCGACTCCTCGATCGTACGCTGAGGCGATCGAGGGTCCCTACTCCTCTCAGTGGCAGTCAGCCATGGATGCAGAGATGACTTCTTGGAAGTCCACAGGCACCTACGTCGACGAGGTTCCCCCACCTGGGGCGAACAACCTCAGTGACATGTGGATTTTCAGGGTGAAGCGGCCGCCGGGTTCTCCGCCTGTCTTCAAGGCGCGTTATGTGGCTCGAGGCTTCAGTCAGCGGCAGGGAGTTGACTACTTTCAGACCTTCTCTCCCACCTCGAAGATGACCACTCTTCGGGTGCTGCTGCACATAGCCGCTCAGCGCGACTACGAGCTTCACTCTCTTGACTTCAGCACAGCTTTCCTGCAGGGCAGCCTGCACGAGGAGATCTGGCTGCGCCGCCCACCTGGCTTCACTGGGTCGTTTCCCCTTGGTACCCAGTGGAGCCTCCGGCGGCCAGTCTACGGTCTTCGTCAGGCGCCCCGTGAGTGGCACGACACACTGAGGACTACACTTGCGACTCTTGGGTTTGCTCCTTCTACTGCCGACCCGTCGCTGTTTCTGCGCACCGACACCTCTTTGCCACTGCTGATACTGCTGGACTAGCCCACGTGAAGTCCGAGCTGCAGAAGAGACACACGTGCACAGACCTTGGTGAACTGCGCAGCTACCTTGGCTTGCAGATCATCCGGAACAGAGCACAGTGCACCATTACCCTGACTCAGTCACACATGGTGCAGCAGGTCCTTCAGCGCTTCGACTTCACGTACTCCTCGCCCCAGGCCACTCCTCTGTCTACTCGTCACTCGCTCTCAGCTCTACCTTCGGATGAGTCCGTAGAGCCGAGTGGCCCGTACCCAGAGCTTGTTGGCTGCCTCATGTACCTGATGACCTGCACACGACCTAACCTTGCATACCCTCTTAGCATCTTGGCACGCTATGTTGCTCCTGGGAGACACCGACCAGAGCACATGGCTGCAGCGAAGAGGGTGTTGCTCTACGTGTGCAGTACGACGAGCATGGGGCTAGTGCTTGGAGGGCGGCGTTCGGTGGTCCTCACAGGTCACGCAGACTCTTCTTGGGCTGACAACCAGGCTACGCAGCGGTCGTCACAGGGTTACACCTTCAGCCTTGGTTCCGGCTCTGTCTCGTGGCGGTCTACCCGCCTGTCTTCTGTTCTCGACTCCAGCTGTGAGGCTGAGATCTACGCAGGGGCCATGGCTGCACAGGAGCTACGCTGGCTCACCTACCTGCTGACTGACCTAGGAGAGCCGCCTCGTTCTCCTCCAGTTCTGTATGTAGACAACAAGTCCATGATGGCCTTGTGTCGGGAGCACAGACTGGAACACAGAACGAAGCACATTGCTCTTCGCTACTTCCTTGCTCGTGAGCTGCAGCATCGTGGTCAGCTGCGCCTTGCTTACGTGGCCTCTAAGGCCAGCAGTGCTGATATCTTTACCAAGGCACTTCCGCCTTGTGATCATCAGCGCTTTTGTACGTTGCTAGGTCTTGTGCCTACTTGGCCTCACTTGCTCACTTCTTGACTTTGCTTGTACTGTGATCTTTTTATACCTGCACTTGCTTGTTTACCTATATATATTTATAATCTTGCATGTGAATTGGCCTTATGGCCTTGCTCTTGTGATCGGACTGTGTGGTGACGTTGTGATCCACCCTGAGCTTGCTTTGCTTTGCTTGACTGGTCTTGTGACCTCTTGTTCTCCCCCACTTTGCCTATGGGGGTGTGTAAAACTCTTATACTATAGTCTGTCTAGGCTGTAGTGGGGTAGACAATATGGGGTACAACACTTCTAGATTTTCCTACTTGTACCCACCTACTTGCTAGTTCATTCATTCCTCATTCTTCACAGCGACGACTCGTATCGTAGCGCCCTCGTTCGTCCCACGAGACCGATGTCCCCAGTTGCTGCATCCATAGAACCCCGGTCTCGGTCAGAGGAAGAAATCAAGCTTCTCCGCCATGGCGATAATCCCCTAGAAATCGGTGACGCCGCGATGTCGTGCTTCAGGCCGACGATGTAGCGGTCGATGCGTTCGCTCTCATGCATATAACCCACTTGCTCGCATAGCGCCAGAAACCCGATCGTGCAATCCTGGACGGAACCTAGTTGGCGCCAAGTGCGGAGCTTCTGATGCGCCGCGATCGAAGCCGCAATTGGCTCTAACAGAACGCGCAGACCTGCGCACCACGCGACCCACGTGCGATATTGGGGCACCTCCACGAAATACGACGGCGCCCAGGGTCTGGTTTGTCCTTCCCATGTCGGTAGAGTCGCGTAGTCCGCCGGCTTCGTGACGATGACACGCCACCAATCCATGGCGGGTCCTCGCAGCAACGACACGGCATAACGGATTTTCGCCGTATCCTCCGAGACATAGTTGGCGTCGAAGAAGACATTAATCGTAAACGACCACGCCTAAACGGTAGGACCAAATCGTTGACTCGGGTCGAAGCATGGCGAACGCTGCGGCTTCAGCCGCATCGGCGACGGCAGTGTTGATTTGCCGGCCGGCACAAGAATCCTGACTTGAGGCTGACTCCTGGCCGCGTTCGTCGCTTCGGAGTGTGTCGTGCCGTGGTCGTCATCTCCGTCGTGGCGGACGACGCCATCACTGGCCGCGCTCGCGGGTTGCCCCACACTTTCGTGTTGCGATGTCTGTGGTGCGAGCTGTATCAGAGTGCCATGTGTTTGAGATTGTGCTTGCTGCGCTCTTACGATGTCATTTTGCAGGGACGTGCGTTCTGCCGTCAGCGCCGCGATTTCTTCAGAGCTTTCGCGGATTTGCCGCAGCAGTTCGTTGAAGTGCTCCTGCATGAGAGTTGTGACGTTGATGTGCTCGGTCATTACGAAGGACGTCGGCTTAGCTTAGTCTAGGCGCAGTCGTGGCTGCACGCGTTTACGAGAGAACGCAAGGACAGCGGCTCCTAGAGGCTAAGGTGCATGAGTCCCTTCGAGTAAAAAATCAAAAGTTGATTTCTTAGGGTGCGGAGATGCGCGGTCCGAAAAGAAAGAGGCTCTGAATACCAAGTGTTATGGGTGCAATGAATCGAGGTAGCGAGGATTGCACTAAGGTGTCAAACGAATACAAAATGTGAGCGAAGGCATGAGCGAACATTTATACGCGAAACATGCAAACGGTAACGCGGTGCGTGCGAGCTAGCTAGTGCTACGCTGGCTACGAGGCTCGGGCTAGTCCCGAAGCGTAGGCCGACACGGCCGGGCCAGCAGTGCGAGGTTTGGTGAAACAGTGCTCGCGAAGTCGGCGAAGCCCGGTTAGCAGTAACGGGCGAACAACGGCTGCTGCTGTACGCGATGTTGAAGTGCGCGCCGAGGAATGTCTTCCTTGCAACCCATAACAAATTCTCGCTCGTTCAATTTCACACGTAAAAAACAACATGGAATGGGTGTGCATACATCTAGTCCCGTCGCCACACATCCGATTTTTAGGGATGTGCGATGGAAGGGTGATGTGCGATTCCTTGTGAGCGTGATGACACGGAGGTGCTGAATAACACCACGAAAGTCGTCGTTCGCGCGAGTTTCCCAGCCTGCCCAGCCCACTCATGCTCATCGCCCACGATTTCGTCACGCCAGTTCTTCGCCAACGTTATTTCGTTGCCACAGCAGCACCACCCAGCGAGAACCACGCCACAGTTGGACGACCGAACCATCCCCGTCGCACTGAACGGTATGCCTGGTCGCGTGCGACGTGCTATCCGTCAAGCCTCGCAGGCAAGCGAACAACCCCCTCTCAGAGTCGCCCTCCCACATTTCCGAGCCGCACAATCCATCTCAATCGAGAATTGAGAAATGCCTTCCCAGCCTCCACCTCCTCCCACCACAGCCCCCCGCTAACTCTTTTCCATAAATTCCGCCCATAAACTCCATTCCTCATCGTATCTCAACCCAGCTTCACAAAGCAAGCCCTTCAACGGCTCCTGTTCCTTTTATCGAATAGTCTGCCTGCTTCCGAAGAACAGCCATGGCGTACTCGAGAATGTCCGCGCTAGCCTGTGCGCTGCCCCTGGTGGCGCTCGTACTGGCGTCGCTCTGCCTCAACGCCTCCGCCGAGCTCGCCGTCCCCAAGGCTGCCTCGTCCGCGCTTGCCGCTGCCATGTCCGGCGATCTGGCTCAGCTCGACGCCACAAATGCTCTCTGCGACGACGCTGCGACGAGGAGGATTCTCGACGACGACGACGACGATGATGATGAGGACAAGGAGAAGAAGAAGAAGGACGAGAAGAAGAAGGAGGACAAGAAGAAGGAGGACAAGAAGTCGAAGAAGTCTCCTCCCACTCCCTCGCCTTCCGCTCCCACCACTCCCAACAAGAAGGGCGGCAAGAAGACTCCCCCCACTCCAACAACCCCCGCCACTCCTGGCAAGCCCGCCACTTCCGGCAAGCCCGGCACGCCCGGCGCGGGGAAGCCGGCAGTGAAGCTGAGCGGGTCGGACTCGAAGGTG